CCTTATGCAGTTGCGAGCGCCGTAAAACCCTCTACCAAACTAAACTGACTGTTCTACATATGACTTTATGCAGTTGCGAGCGCCGTAAAACCCTCTACTAAACTAAACTGACTGTTCTACATATGACCTTATGCAGTTGCGAGCGCCGTAAAACCCTCTACCAAACTAAACTGACTGTTCTACATATGACTTTATGCAGTTGCGAGCGCCGTAAAACCCTCTACTAAACTAAACTGACTGTTCTACATATGACCTTATGCAGTTGCGAGCGCCGTAAAACCCTCTACCAAACTAAACTGTTCTAACCGCAGCAACGAGCACACCGACAGAGCAATCACTTGCCACACACATCGTAGATAAATGTGTCACAACGCGATGGAATCAAGCGCTCGTTAATTTTTTGTGCGTGTGGAATTATTGGTATCATCTGACAGCTGATTTATTTGCCTTGCTTCTAATGAAACAAATATCCATTTCTCTTGAATCGAGCACAAGATATTTGCGATTGAAGGAAGAGAGGTCGTCTGGTTTCAGTGGTGAAATTAGCGAGAAAATGGCCGCCAAAGTTTGGAAACTCCAATAGCTAAAGAGTCTTTGAAAACTGAAAAAATGGCATATTCTGTGCCTTTTATCAATGTTTTTTTTACTCCAGTAAATTTCTCTTGGAAGTGCGTTTTTATATGGATGTATTAGAGGTTAAGCCCCCCCCCCCCAAACAAAAAAACAACAAAAACAACTCGATAAAAATGTCTAAACTAACAGAAGAATGCCTGTTTCTCCGATTGTATTTTTTGACGAGCGCCTGATTTCACCACGCTGCCTCACAAATGTTTAGTAGGCCCAGAGCACGATTCGTAGCACTTAATCTTACACCCCCGGGAGGGATCTCTGGAAGCTTAGAGTGACCCCCGCTGACATTACGAAGCTCTTTGCACAAAAGAGTGATTAAAATTTAAACTTAAACCATGATCCAACGAAGCCCATGGATTTTACGATCAAGGGATTCTCGACACGAACACGCTTTGTTCTCGTCCACTCTCTGTAGAACTTGTACCCTGATGTATGAACATGTTCACTTTTCCTTTTACATGCAGGCTGGTTCTGAAACTAATTCTATTGAGAGGCGATGAATTCAAGACACGTCTTTGGCACATTCACTGATTTATGGAAATGTCCCCGTTTCCACTTTCGTGGGAATTGGGTTCTAGAATCTAGGGCTTTTGTGTGGTTGAAAAACTAATAGAGTGGCAAGAAATATGTGAGCCATGCTCGTGTTTTGTTCTTCCTCGTCTTTCCTCTGGTTTTGTTTGTGTGTTTTAGGATAAAATATTATTACATGTAATGCAGAGTGGTATGTGAGCACTGGCGCATATAAAATATAAATAAATAAATATATAAATATGTATATATATATATATATATATATATATATATATATATATATATATATATATATATGTGTGTGTGTGTGTGTGTGTGTGCGTGTGTGTGTGTGTGTGTGTGTGTGTGTGTGTGTGTGTGTGTGTGTATGTGTGCATGAAACAGCTGAAGTTTCTTTATTATTGCTGATGCCTTGAGCATGTATTAAATTTAAAAAAAAAATCTTTCTCAGATTGCACAATAAAGCCGTTAACAAGAACACCAGGTCGTTATTGTTTTTCATTACCATTCTGAGTTTGATTGGTGAACTTCACGTCTGGGGTATTTGAGGCATCACAAACATATACTGCATTCTGACAGTGATCTATTTACTTCACTGGACGTAATTGATTCTTTTGAAGATCTTTCTGAATTCGATGTTGGTAATGACGAGGATTAACCTGAGTGGGATATGGAATGTGATTCTGACGATGATATGAATGTCAGCAATATTGTCCCGGAGCTCAGACAGAGGGCCACGGTAGCCTCAGGAGGTCAGGGCACAAAGAGCTAAATAACTATGGTAAGAAAAGTCTCAAATCGACTCTCAACACAGCATCCAGCTATAAGACGTTGATTTTAACCCCTTCTCTGTCTGGACTCAAGACTCAAGGCTGTCTTGTTACTCTTTGGCAGGGAATCCTGGCAGTGAAAGGGTTTCAGAATATCAGCGAAGAAAACTTGAACTCAGTTTCCGCATGGTGTTTTATCGGAACTGAAGTGGCGAACTTCCGTCGGTTTCATTTCTTCACCGGGAACCCGTACCAAAAAGTTGTTTTTTTTTACCTCTCTGATGAAGAAAAAATACAACAAAATAAAGTTAAAAAAAAAAAAAAAAGATTCTGTGGGACTCGGCAGCGAGGGATCGTACTCTCGACGTCTTGCTAACAAAGAGTAGAGTCGCTGTTCCCCGGTGCTCCGGATTATACAAACTGCCGTATCTAGTACTAGCTCATCCCACTGTGGACGTCCGTAGATTTAATCAACGCTCAACTAGACCGACATCTACGTTAGATTTAGAAAAACTAAATGTAGGAAATAACGTGTTTTTGGGGGGTATTTTTCAAAGCAGGCGCCACTGGAAGGCGCCACTGGAGATCCTACTTTTTTGCCTTTCCTTCCTTTTCTGTCTAGATCACAGAACTCGTAAGTGTAGAATTCTGTGGTCTAGATCAAGGCATCCGAGAATTAGTTCCGGTATCCTCGGTCTAGAATATATCTGTCTTGCTTTTTTCTGGCACCAATGACAATGATGATATTCTCCTTGTTTTAGTAAAAGTTTTACAGCATTTGCAACACAGTTAGGTCATTAAAGTATCCACGATTAGAGGTGTTACAAGACAGTAACAAATACAAAAAAGAAGGTGAGATAAGGACGATAGATGCTTGATAGGAAAGAAGGAGGTGAGATAAGGACGATAGATGCTTGATAGGAAAGAAGGAGCAAACCACACCAGAGCACTCGCCAACTACCCACATAATATTATTCAGACAACCATCTCAATACTTTTTTAAAAAAAGAAAAAAAACCCATCCTTCAGTAACTCCCCCCCCCCTCCCCCGCGACCCCAAAAAATATTACAAAAATAAATTAGCAAAGTAGCCTCAAATGTCTTACAAGACTCAACAGAGATTGTTAACTGTCAAATTCTCGTACAAAAAATAAGTCTAAACAAACCAAA